CATTTAGAGGTAATTTATTTTGGTTGCACCAATATTTATTGCTTTTTGAAGTGGAGCACAATCAGATTTACATGTAATTTCTGTGAATAATTTGAGATCATCAGTATACAACAGTGTACCCAATTAACAGTCGCAATTATATCATTAATAAACATTACGAACAATAACGGGCCCAAAATAGATCCTTGTGGTACACCCGACCTCTGCTGAAACTTTTCAGACTTAAACCCCCGGAATTGAACAAATTGGTATCTATCCTGCAGATACGACTTTAACAAATTAATCATTGGTATGCTGAGATCAAACGCTGTTAATTTATCAAATAAAATTCCGTGGTTATGGTTATAGATATGAAAATGGTTAAACGGAGAAAGTTTTAGACAGTTCTGCTATTAACTTAATGGTGCTTGCAGACCGGTCCTAGTTCTTCAGGTTTTTGAGTTATTTTGAAAAAAAGTAAATGTGGCATTTTCGAAAATCTTTTGTATCTTTTTTATTTAGAGGAACTTTTAAAATCTGAAGACACTTTACAGAGCAAGTTTTTTCGAGAATTTCACTGTATATTTAGATTTTCATTGCGACGTTTCGTTTGCGATAAACCATCATCGACTTTCCTTTTTCTTATGGGCGCTATATTGAATTTTAAGCTGAGCAAATAGAGCATTTTTTGGCTTATCAGTAATGTAAGTATTATAAGTAAGAAGAAATTTCAAAATCAACCTCAAAAATTAATATTTTAATATTTTTAATAAATCTGACAACCCCGTAGAATTTTTCGAAATTATCATAGAGTAGTCTCAAATTTTTGAAAAAGCTTATAATTAATGTCATGACGTTGAGTGAAAAAATCACGCTTTGCGTTATCCCAACGAAGAAAAATGTGATATGTTGGACAGCTTTATTAAAAATAATAGAAAAGCAACTGTTGCAATAAACAGTTATATTGGAAATTATCTCGAAAGACAACCATCAAATGAAATGTATTTTTATAAATTTTTAACAAATTTGAGAATGTTTGGAAGTTTGAAAAGCTACATCCTAAGAACTACGAAAGAGATAATAGGGGAAATATTATTTTTTTCATTGGATTAACGTAAAGCCATTTTGCCGATTTTAAAACAAGTGTCACACTAACTGTTAACAATTAACTCTATGATTAACAATAATTCAAAATAACAAGCAGTTTGCAACACGTGGTTATTGCTATCATTTTTTCACTCAATGCCATGATAATAATAAGCTTTTACAAAAATTTGAGACTATTCTATAATAGTTTCGAAAAATTATGCGGTGTTGCCAGATTTACTAAAAATATTAAAATACTGATTTTAAATTCACATTATATCATTGAAAAGCCGAAAAAATGCTTTATTTGCTCAGCTTAAAATTCAATATGGCCCCCATAAGGAAAAAGAAAGTTGATGATGGTTTCTCGCAACCGAAACGTCCCAATGAAGATCGGAATATACAGTGAAATTCCTCGAAAAAACGTGCGGTAAAAAAGTTATAGATCATTTTCGAAAGCGCCATTAAGTTAGCAACAGAACTGTCTAAAACCTATGTCTTATAATTTCCAAGATACCAACACATGTATGACCAAAATGGTCCACACTGTATATTAAAAAAAAAATGAGTTTAAAGTATACTGCAGCAGTATTCTGCTTTGTCGTTTTTTATAGACATGTACTTGTAGAGAAATTTTTTGTTTCCGTGAAGTAAAAAATGTCTCTTCAATGGAGCATGAGTGTCGCTTTGGACATATTTTTGAAAAACTTATTTCAATGTAGAATGTGGTGAGAGATATTTCTCTGTTACCAAGAAAAGTTAATGCAGCTATTTATAAGAAAGAAAAAAAGATCAAAGGATTATGAAATTCATAAAAAACATAAAATTGAAAATGTACAATAAATCTATTACGACAGTAAAAATGTAAAATTTAGTCCTACTTATAATTATTTATAACCATAACAATATTTTTAGAATTATTTGTCATTTGTCTTAATAATTATTTCCTAAAACTTTACTGATAAGCCTATCACATGTTCTAGTTTTCACTGAAAATTATGATCATTTATACAGATTAATTGTCAGATTATCTGCCTGACATATCAGACAGAACCAGTGGCGGCTCGTCAGGTGACGCAAGTGACACCGCTTCACCTAAAATTTCCGTTTGGTTGTGCAATTTAATTTTTTTTTAAATTTTATATAATTCTGTATTGAAAATGTATTGTGTTTGTTTGTTTAATACGCAGAAATAACCATAATAGTTGCACGGTGAACAGTTTTTAAAAAAACATTGCCTTTGTTGTGTTGAGCGCGAACATAAACCTCGTACCATACAATGTATAGTATACGCAAGTGACGCAGATGGAAATTAGTCTACAGGGTCGGAAAGTCCCCATGGTTCATCGGCCGTTACTTGAGAGCGATAAAATGAGTCATAGAAATCCGTGCGATAGAGAAAGATGGCTACAATGAAGGCGTTTAATAGTCACCGCCCATTTCGTCCTTCCACAAATAAGAAGTGGATCTTATTTGTGGAAGGGCGAAATGGGCGGTGACTATTAGACGTCTTCATTATAACCATCTTTCTCTATCGCACGGATTTCTATGACTCTTTATCGCTCTCACGTAATGGCCGATGAACCATGGGGACTTTCCGACCCTGTATATTCCGCTTATCTTCGAAGCGTTGTTTACGGAGGTTGTCATCACGGGAGAAACTACGGCGTGGGGGGAACGAGTGACGCGGATATTGAAGCAGCATTGTTATCGCTTGCCTTTAAACAGTTTATACGATACGCGTCGTCCGGTGACGATTATAACGGTTCTTCGTTAATATTTGTTTTGTACAAGGACATTTAAATAAATGGGACTATGCATGTCACAGTCTATCTCATATGTTGGGTGAAGCTAGACAAGGGGAAAGCAGAGGGCTTTATTTTCATCCAACTGATGCGCGCGATTACATCTCCAATGTCGTACATTTTGGATGGGTCAAAATAAAATATTTTATAGTCCTAAGTCAATATATTTCAACAGCTACTAAGTATTTTTATAATAAATATATATAATATTTTTATAACTTCTTGAAATCCCAATAACTGTAACCATTTCTTTCTTGTTGCACCATCCCCAAGCATCCTACAAACGTTCACATTTCACTTTTAGAATACTGTGGCAAATTTTCAGTGAGACATAAAAATATATTCCCAAAGGAGAACATCAAATGGTTGAATGAATGCAACTTTCAGTCGATTGCATCTTCGGTATTTTTATGTATAAGTGAACCACCACCATATTTTTGCTGTTGTATTTATTCAGTTTTTATGCTCGTGCATTCAGTAAAATTGTAAATATATTTCTGAAAAGGTTTTTGTCGTAGAGGAAAATGAAAATGATGAATGATTAAAATTTGTAATGTTGGGTATAAGGGATAACATTGAAATACCTATAAATATATTAAATATAAATAATGTCTGTAACTTATTTGTGGTGCAGCATTTTCCTTTGATTTTAATGACCCAACGTGGTTCATATTATTGTTTTCTTACTATTTCAGCAAAAATTTAAAAAAAATACCAAGTCAGTTTTATACAATTTTACCGTTATTCAAATAAAAGTTACCCACACGCACGACAATGGCCACAGTTGCATATACATTCCAAAGTCACCTTCAAGCACGCTTACCTGTGGAAGGATAGCTGATGTGGATGTTTATAATCCAATTTCTTACAAATTCTGCACTGTCTAACCATATTCACACCTTAAAAGTTTATCCAAAATACATGTGTAAACACTAATCACGTTTCACTTACTAAAATCACAACTATTTTCTAACAAGAGACGCCATATTCTGCCAACCACGGCAGAACGAACGAGGAACACGCTACAAATTATTGCGTAGTTGCCAAGTCTTCAAACGTGGCAAATATGAAAAATGAAAAATAGTTTAATATGTACAGAATTTAACAATATTGTATGTATAACTTAATAATACTATCCTATAATAATAATTTTCACAATTGTGATGAAAATTGCGATAAAAATATTAAGTACATTTCCAGTATAATTATACAGCTGACAACAATAATACAATTAGAATGTGAATAGACCAGGCTTCATCTAGAAATGTAAATAAATAAGTCCCCTTTATTTAATGTCCTTGGTTTTGTATAATAATTGTAGAAATGTTTCCTATGTATGATCCAAAATCCAGTATGTATTTTATTGGAAACGCCATTTTCCAGACGGAAAATTAAGGACAAAAAGGATTTTTAAATTGCGAGAGACCTGTGCCTTATTCTCTTTATATGGAAAAAGGGGAACTCAAAAGACAACGTGTACGTTCGAAAGTTTCGGAATGAATGGTATTAGGAGTATAAGTGGTTGTGTGGAAGTGTTTATTTAAACAAAACTTTTCTGTATGCCGTATTAAATTGTGGGTGTAAAGTCGGGCGTGTGGAATAAGGAGGGATTTAACAATTTTGGGAACCGTCACTCGAGGCTGTAGTAACCACAAAGCTTCTTTGGAACATACATGTATGGTGTGCGTTAATGTTCGCAGAAGTCCACAAGCCGAACTATTATTTCTATTTTAATGAAATCTAAATGAAAATCCTTCTCACGAACGTCAGTTTTTCGGTAATATTGCAAATGTAACTAAAAATTTCCAGATTCATTTAAAGCCGTTTGACATTGAAAATTCGAAAATTTTCTCTTGCGGCGCTTTTTTCTCTTTTTTGTCAATCAGTGAATATGATTCATCTATTCTCAATGTACGAGCCGCCACTGGACAGAATATAAACCTGAAAATGTTTTAACTTTTAAATATGTACTTAAACTTACCTATTTAATTGGTTATGGTTGTACGAAATATGAATCATTTTACCTTCTTAAAAGAGCTTAATCAAAAAGGTCTCATACTCATATAATCTTTCTGTAAATCAAAATATTTTTATAATCTTCACAAATAATAACAATTTCCTTTGTTTCAGCTTCTCTGTTCCATCTTTGCCTTCTATGTAAGAAATACCATAACCAGCCGTGGAAAATATGTATAAATCATCAAATTTATGTAGTCATAAATGGTTTCTTAATATAGGGCATTTTAGAAAAGAATGATTATTTGTACTCGTATAAGAAATTAATAGTATTTCTCCTTTAAGTATCCGCCATTAAAATCAAAGCCAAAGATCGGTAGCAAGTCAAATTTAAAGAAAACTGTTTTTATTTATTTGCCTGCTATAGCAATATTAAACAAAACATATTTCTTAGCAGAAACTATAAAGTTGTAAATATATTCACACAGAAAAACTATTAATTCGATTAATTACTACACTAGTCTTTATTCTTAAAAATGTAAATAAAGTATATGTATCTGATGTAGCTGTAGAACAGTTATACTATTGTATGTGATAACGCAAAGAATATTTTAATTGTAGTCAATTATGTATATAGTAAAATAAAAAATAAATCAATATTCTTGTTTAATTTTAATCCTTCACAGCAAAAAATAATTTGCGTTAAAATTTTGTAAGAACATATCTTTTGCCTTTGGGAGGACATATGGAGGATTTTAATCCTCCATCTGTTAATGACAATTACTTACAATTATTTGTAAACAGCAGAAGATAGATGGTTCGGCAGGAAAATTATTTGGAGCGATGAAACTTCGTTCACAAATAACGACATTTTTAATAGAAAAAATAAGTATTATTATGCTAGGGAAAATCCAAATTTGGTTCAAGGGACTAGTCACCAAATCAAATCTTCCATTAACATTTGGCATGGAATATTAAATGACCGTATAATAGGACAGTTTTTTTATTGATGGTAACCTTATTTCTCAGAAGTAGGTAATTAGATATTTTAAGGATAGAAATACAGTCTACATTGAATAATCTTCCCTTACATTACATTAGAAATTTATAAATATTTCAGCAAGGCGCAGGGTGATTGAATCGACGCTTTCCAAATAATTGGATTGGCACTCATGGACCTGTAGGTTTGTCTAAAAGATTAACTTTATTACAGTCTCTGTGACAATAATATAGAAGATGTATGTATGTAGGATTTGCAGAATATTTGTGTATTTTGTTTTATTGAGTATTGATTTTTGTTTTACGTCAAGACTAGATTTTATTAAATTTTTAAATAAATTATTAATTTCTTTAATTTTATGGGTTATTCTTCAAATAAAATAGTAGTGTTACATATTGACGTATTTCCAATTTGAATCACCCTGTATACCTTACGGTTTCCCAGATGCTAATGGTGAGCCATGAAAAACGGACCACCCTGTATATGTAGTAAAATAAAATATAAATCAATATTCCTGTTTTTAATTTTAATCCTACAGACAAAAATATTTTCCGGAAAAATTTTGTAAGCACATATGTTTTGACTTTGAGGATGCACTTATATAAATGGTTTTAATTTAATTTATGTATTATAACAACAAGAATAAAGTAATATTTGTTAATTCTATCAAGGCAACCATTTATACAAATCGCTGTAATACTGGTTGCATAAACAAATTTAATAGGTATTTAAGAAATGAATTTTTTCAAATTTTCTCAAATAATATATTCACTTCAATAAAAAACTGAAACAATTATTTCTATCATATTGTTCATGCATATAAAAATTAGTTTATGCATATTAACTACATGTATCTATATATATTTGTTCTGTGAGATATATTTGTATTGAGATAAATAAAAAATTTGAAGTTTAAATATTATAAATCAAAATTGACAAATGTCAAATAATGGAAATTAAAATAAAATATATTAAACAATAATTCAGGGAAATTAACATAAAATTTGTCAGTAGAATGTTAGAAGAGTAAATAATAGATAGGAAAGTTTAAAATGAAGTGAAGGAAAGAAAAAGAACGTTATAAGAATAAAAAGGAAGGTGTAAGGACCTTAAGGAAGAGTGAGGATCAAGGGAAAAACAAAAGAAAGAAAAAAAAAGAAATTAGTTACAAAATAAAAAAAGAAGAGTGAGGAAAGTAAAATTTGAGGAATTTAAAAGTTGGAACTACGTGGAGCAGAACAGTAAAATCAAAAAGAAATTTATATTACATACAAGCTGATTCATAGAGGGGACCTCCAGAGAAGAAGAATGTGAAATTAGTGAATGAAAGTAAGTTTCAGGTATCCAGTTTGTTAGAATTGTAACATAAAGAACTATTCAAGAAGAAAAAAAAGGTACTTCCGTAATTAATTTGTGTTATGAAAGTCAATATCAAAGTATCACAAATAAGTTACAAATTTGACAGATCTGAACATTTTAAGTTATTATAGAATCAAGATAATATATGCAACATTAAAGACCATACCTTAATAGTGTCATATTCAAATGCATAGACGGAGAAAGGCATTGTGAAGTTTCACTTGAGGACAAAAGTAATTTGACAGGAACTGTCAAAAGTTACATTTACAATTACTTAACTAAGTTGTTGAAATTTTAGATTAATAATAATTATTACATTCAAGCATATGCAACAGTATATAATCAACTTGATACTAGAAACATAATATGTTTGAAAATTTATTACATGTATAAAAAAATTACTTTATAAAGTTGATTTATATACCTATAGTTGTCTTATAGTAATTTCAATTTAATAATAATAATAACATAAATTAATTCAAACAGCTAATTTAATTTTAATTTCGATAATATTATTATTAAAAAAAATATTCAATTAATATTAAGTATACATTAAACATTTACAATTATTAAAATAACGAGCGTTCAAATAAAAACGTGGTCAACTTGGTTCTGAAAATTTGGACGTAGGGCGTAGCGTATAGCAAATGAACTTAAACGTCATCTGTCAAAGCGCTATATCGCCGCTATCAATTTGAATATTTTCGTTTTAAAAAGCGTTTAAAATGGTGTTTTCTCAAGAACAAAAAGTGTTTATCATAGAGTCCTACTTTAGAAATGGACGCAAGATTGATGGAATATGGAAGTATTCTATTGAGGAATGTTTCATAGAATTTCAAAATCAATTTCCCGGCGTTGTTGAGTACAAAATTTTTCAAAGTGCAGTTCAGCGTTGTGTTAATGTTTTTCGTGAAACGGGCAGTGTAACAAGAAAAGAAGGAAGCGGCCGACCTAAAAAGCGGACTGAAGAATTAAAAGAAAATGTCCAACAAATAATGGAAAATGCGCCAAGAACTTCTGTACGTGTTTTATCACAAATGGTGGGAGTATCAGTCGGTACCTGCCACACAGTGTTAAAAAAAGATTTGCGTTTGTTCTCCTATCGTTTAACTTGTCAGCAAGAACTTCATGAAGTTGATTTTCCGCGACGGGCTGTATTTTGTGAATGGTTTTTAAACAACTACGGTGAACTTCATAATATCACCTTTTTTTCTGATGAAGCCTGGTTTCATTTAAGTGGTTACGTAAACTCACAGAATATGAGAATGTGGTCTTCTGAAAAACCAGATAACTTTTTTGTCGAGGGCCCTCTACACGCTCAAAAAATTGGAGTTTGGTGTGCTCTCAATCGAAGGAGGATTTATGGACCTATTTTTTTTAATGGTACTCTTACTGCGCAAAGGTATAGAGAAGAAATTATCGCTCCTTTTGTTAACCAGCTGGAAGAAAACGAAATTACAAACTTTTACTTTCAACAAGATGGCGCAAGGGCACATACGGCAGGCGAGACGATGAATATGTTGAGGGAAGTTTTCCAAAATCGACTAATAAGTCTCAATGCTGAACATGAATTTCCACCGAGGTCATGTGATATTACGCCGTGTGATTTCTTTTTGTGGCCTTACCTTAAAAACACTATTTTTGAACTGCCTATTCCTGATTTAAACCATCTGCAGGCTCGACTTATAGACAAGATTCGTGAAATTAACAATACCCCGAGCATCTTAGAAAATGTCTTTAATTCTTTGAGGAACAGGTGTGAAAAGTGCTTGGAACAAGGAGGGGGACACTTTCAGCAGCTGCTTTAATTTATTGTTATAACAAGGAGGGGGACACTTTCCGCAGCTCCTTTAATTGTTTGTTATTGTTATCACGATTATTCTTTAAAATAAAGTTATATAGTCATTAACGTTATTGAAACTGACAGCTGCTATACAACTCGTTGAGAAATGAGGTTAAGTTGGTCGCTATAAGTTACTCCCTACGTCCAATGTGTCAGAGCCAACTTCGACCACGTTTTTATTTGAACGCTCGTTATATTACAATATTTACATGTTGAAAATATAAAACTAGGTATAAAGGTGTAGGTATAAATAACTTTATCTCCTACACTGAGTTCAGATAACAGAAAGTGTTCACCAACAACTCATAGGAGAAGAGAATAATAGAAAATACGTTGTTCACAAAAAAATGGGGTGTGCAGAGGGTCTGGTGAAACTCATCGTTTTTGCCGTAAATTTGGTGTTTGCGGTAAGTACCTTTATATTTTTTTGTAAATTTCAGAAAGTCAAATATTAGGAAAAATTCAGTACTTTTTTATAAATTTACATAAGTGCCTACGTGATTCAATGTGTTTATTTGTTATGTCGCGTTGTGAACTAAACAAATTACTTTTTCTGCTTTTTATTTTGTACTGAAATGCATATTCAATGTTTTTAAATTTTATAATTTTGTTATTGTGAAAAAATAAAATTTATAGGGCGTTGTTTAAATGATGTTATACCAGAAAATCTCATTGCAAATATTATTATTTCGAAACTGGACGAGTTATTTAATGACTAGGTATTGTTTTCCAGTAAAAAAATATATATTCATGTTAAAATACAATGAGATTTTTATATATGAAGTGGATTTCACTGCCATTTTTCTCTGCTGATTTTATTTGGCAGAATAATGTTCCGATACTATATTTTCTTCATTTAATGCTACAATTTCTATAATTTACTATTGCAAATTTCTTTGTTTCATATAAATACAGTATTTTCTTCTGATTTCCGTTCATTTCTTCAACTCTATATTCAGCAAATTTTTTGCGAATTTAAATTTAGGCAAAATGTTCTTTCGTTATTTTGAAGGAATTTTGCCACTTGAGCCAAACAGTCATATCGATTGATGATTGTATATTTTTTATCTTATCTTTTACATTGGAAAATACACACGAAACTGGGCTGGAATTTATTTATTCTGTATCACTTCCGCTATAAAAAGAAATTGTGTCATCTTTTTCAAAACTTGGCGACAAACTTTGATCAATGACCAATCATATCTATTTTCTATATAATATTTCCTGTGAAAATATTACTCCACCTGTCCATATTTTCGCTAGGTATATTTTTTTCTCACCTAGTACTCAGCTTCATAGTTTAAAATTAAAGTGCTAGGAGTACATATTGATAACAGTCTTATCTCTTCATCGTGATATCATATGTGTCGCCGCAATTAAACTAAAAAGGTGTATTAAAGTCACCTGAAAATGGGTTTCGCGGAGGGGTGTGTGAAATTTTTTGTTTCCGGGGTAAACTTCACCTTTGCCGTAAGTAACTTTGTATTACTCACTGGAAATATAAACGCAATGGAATGAATGGTTGTTATCTATGTGGCGTATTGTGAAAAGTGGAATTCTGAGTATGGGTTATTTTTAATATATATCTACGTTATCAGTACGGATTGGTTGACGAAATTAATAGCGAGTTAGTATGAAGAATCACTGGGAATTTATCAATGTTTGGAACTGAATTTGGTCACAAGCCACAGGAAGTACAACGCTTTATTTATTTTGTGATACATGATTTTTGTGTGTTTGTATGTCTTTTAGTGTTCCGCTTCGTCACATTTTTTGTTTAAGAGAATTCGGTATATAATTTTAATCAATATATTTGTTAAAATGATATTTACGATAGCACTGATAAAATTATTATTTTGAATGTTGTTATTACAACCTCGATTAAAGAGATATAAAATTTATCAATGATAACAACCCACAGGTTTCAAAATTAAAATGTTTTCAAATTGAGTAAGCTATTTATCAAAATTATGCCTGTTGTTTTAAAAGCGGTTGTCACTATAGTCCAGGCGGTATCTGATTTTAAAAGGGTATACTTTGGTAAAATTCATATCATCGGAGATTTTTGCTTTAACGGCTTCTAAATAACATCAGAAATGATAATTTTTCTATGCAAATAAAAAAAACGTGGACTTAATTTTTATTGCAAAAAGTATAATAAATAGCAAAAAAATTAATTTTTTTTTGAATTTCTCGTCGACGACTTAGCAACTATTCGTTTTAGACAAAAATGGAAGAGGAACAAAAGCAATTTTGAACAAGATAGAGTTAGTTGCAATTGGAAAAAATAATTATTGTTGCAAAAATCTGAAAAATCATTTAAAAAATTGCAAAAAATATTAGTTTATTTGCCAATTTTTTTCAGGCACTTGAATAATACCTAGGATCTTCATACTTTTCCAATTAAATTTCTTAGTGCATAACATCAACACACCAAATTTCATCGAATTCGGTTCGATGTTTTTATATAATAATTGTTAAAAAAAATTTTTTTAAATTAAAAAATTTTCAAAATCAAATTTTTAAAAATCTAAAGCCTTTGAATACTTGAAAATTTCAGCACAAAAAGAAGAGCTCTCAAGCTTCAAAATGCTTTTTGAAAAATTTCAATCGGACTATTAGGTGAGCCGAGGTGATTGTTTAAACATTTTCGCAATTTTCACGCTTATAAACAATTGCAATAATTTAATGTTTTTTCATTTTTTTTAATTTTTAAAATATGGTTTGAAAGTACTCGGAAAGACGAGTATTTCAAAAAGAACTTATTGATCCACGCATTATTTTCAGAGTTATAGCCCATTAAAGTTAACCCTTATTTACAGCAAAACTATAAGGGTATAAGGCCTGTTTTTTGAACTAATAGGTTTGTCATTCCGAGTACTTTCCAGATATTTTCAAAATTTGCAATCCCATTTAAAATGTCACTCAAAGATATTCAACGCCTCACCTAATCGTCCGATTTAAATTTATCAAAAAGCATTTTAAAGCTTGAGAGCTCTTCTTTTTGTGGTGAAATTTTCAAGTATTCAAAGGTTTTAGATTTTTAGAAATTTGATTTTGAAAATTTTTTAATTAAAAAAAAAATTTAAACAATTATTATGTAAATAAAAACTATCGAACCGAATTGGGTAAAATTTGGTGTGATGATTTTATACACTAAGTAGTTTAATTGGGAAAAGAATGAAGATCCTAGGTATTATTCAAGTGTATGAAAAAAATTTACAAATAAACTAGCATTTTTTGCAATTTTTTAAATGATTTTTCCGATTTTTGCAACAACAGTAATTATTTTTTCGAATTTCAACTAACCCTATCTTGTTCAAAATTTAATTACAAAACTCTTTTCCTCTTCCATTTTTGTCTAAAACGAATAGTTGGTAAATTGTCGACGAGAAATCCAAGAAAAAATGAATTTTTTTGCAATTTTTTTATACTTTTTTGCAATAACAACGAAGCCCACGTTTTTCTTTATTTGCATAGAAAAATTATCATATCTGATGTTATTTAGAAGCCGTTAAAGCAAAAATATTTATTAAATTGTTAAGCGCGCATGCTCCGCCTCGCTCTCCCCACTCGTTCGCTAGACCAAGTAATAGAACGCATCGCCGCTATCTTCTTTTTCGCAATTAAATAGTTGAATTCACCTTAATGTTAATGTAGGACATGAAAATATAGCTCTTAATGTATACTCTCTCCAAATTTCGGCTCTTAATATTAATAATTAAGGTCACTGCGATTAAATAAAAAAATTTTTTTTCTCAGCTTCTAATCAACTTACAACGATTTTTTTTTAAATTCGAAGAAAACTAAAGTTTTGAGGTTACTATTTTATTTCATAATAATTACCTGTCTTAACAATTTTATAAATATTAACATTTTTTCAGTCATTTTTAAACAAATTAAATTTGAAAAACTAAATTCTCAGGAAATGCATATGTCAATACAACTATTTAGGTACAAAAACAACTAATGATCGAAACCCTACAACGCCTGTGAGATTGGGAAAAATGAATTGAAAATAGCATCTTCTTAGATAACAAATTCCACCAACGCCAAACCAATGGAGCATTCGTGCTGAAATTTTTACCACAGATTAAGGGTGTAAAAAGCCTCAAAAATCCTGAATTACAAGTGTCTGCGATGATAATTGCATTAATTATTAGCAATTGAAAAAAACGGCAATTTTCGATTATTTTTGAGCTCTTGTGCATAAACAAATTATCGGAATTTAATCGGACTTTTCTCATTTCATAGGCTTATTTAATACCTACCTTTTTTGTATACACTTTTTTTCGCTATGAATAATAGTTTTTTTACGTGAGTCAAAATACCACTTCTCCATAACTTTGACCACTGTTAAAACAAAGTTTCCCAACTAGCCTCGAGTTGATTTTTTTATATTTTATTTATAACGGGCTTCTGAACAATATTCCGAAGAGAAACTTTTAATAGTATTTTTTCCCCGAAACAGTCTCTTTCATGTCTATAATGACTGGGCTATTTACTTAAATAAATGAAAATCTGTAAGTGATTCATATTTGATTCAGATACAATTTAAATTCTTTGACAAATAGTACATCAAATAGCATTATCAGATATTTGTAATATGGTTTTTGGTTATACCATTTTATAGTACATATCTCCTTCGATTTCTATCCACGTAATGAAAAAATACATAAGTACGTGTTGGTTATATTAAAATCAAATAAAAATATTCTTATTCTTTTTCCGAGCTGTATCTCATCATTTCTGGCACAAAATTCACCCATGATAGATTAATTAATATATTTCTGCATTTTAATGATTATTTTCTTAAATTAAATTAAAAAAATTGAAGCGACAATATCAAAATTGTTACCGATATAGTATATATACATTAATATGAATTATTAACTAAACAAGCTCTAATTTTTTTAGTTGGCTGGACTTGCCCTGATAATAATCGGAGTTATTTACAAGCTAAACTTGAATGACTTCACGAGTGCCATACCAGAGGAATACCATAACATTGGCCTAGCTTCGATATTTACTATTGCCATCGGCTCTGTGATTTTCATTATTGCATTCTTTGGATGCTGTGGAGCCATTAGGGAGAGCCCCAGCTTGCTGCTGACGGTAAGATGCTTTCATACTTTTACTAATATATCCGGTATTATTAGGGGATTGCTGTATTATATTTCATTCTACAAGTTAATTTAATAAAATTTGTAGAATGTTTTAATGAATAGTGCATATCAACTGTTATACAGAGCTAAATCGTAAACACACAATATATGCATGTATGTAAGAAATGCCAAATTGCTTTGTTTAGCCGTTAGATGGCACTGAATTTGGCCAAAGATTTTAGTTTTTTCCAAACAGATCTAAAATACTGGCGTTTTATAGGCAAGAAATTGCACTTTTAGTGAGACAATGATATAATAAGAAAATCCATCTAAACTATAAAAATATAAAAATACAAGGATTCCTTTAATTTTTCGGGGTGATGATCTAGATTTTTTTATAATGAAAACAAAAGAGTACATAAACTTTTTATTCGAATATGCTTTTACGAGAATTATTGGAATTAATTACAATTTTTAATTAAAAAAACTATAATTGCGTTCATCTCAGATTTCTCTCACAATCAGTCCGTAATTATGACTATCATATTTGAATCTCTGTGGTTATCCTTATTTTAACAGTTTTAGCTGAATCGGTTGATAAATTACTGAATATAAAAATCATAAATGAATGCGAATTATCTTTTCTTTTTTAATATTAGTTGGTGAAAATGGTAACAAATTCCAATAATTTACATGAACGAGCATGTAATGATAAATTTTTCAACTTCATTTCGTTTTAATGATGAAATAAATAAAATTTTGGAGTGGATGTTAGGAGGTCAATAATTGGACGATTTGTGTTAAAAATGTCTTGGTGATAACTAATCAGATAATAATTAATTAACCGTTACGTGTACAAAACATTTATGGGAGAGAAAAAAGAGAAAAAACTTAAAAATGTTCTTATCCTTATGTTCTAAGAGAGTTAAAGCTGTAAGGTTAACTGCCAAAGAAAATATGGACATAAGTATTTGCTTTCCCAGTTTTATAAATGCAATTACTTCGATTATAGATACATAAGTAGTAGCGTACCTTTCATTTACGTCGGACAAAGCAAATTAGAATTACAGGACAATATTACCTGACCACAACATAATAATAATATGTTATGACAATATCGGCATCACCAGTGTTTACCGTTGTAGGTGAACCTATTATTTTATAAAAACCGAATAGAACCCAAAGGGAAACAAAATTAAATAACAAACACTGGTTTAATAATTATTAATAAGAACCATAATGACGTGATTGGTGTAAATCAATTTAATAGACTCCTTTTTCATTTTTAAAAATGTAATTTTTTAATCATTACTCTTTTATCAATTGTTGTTTATATTAGAGCAAGGACATTAAATAAAGGGGACTTATTTATTTACATTTCTAGATGAAGCCTGGTCTATTCACAGTCTAATTGTATTATTGTTGTCAGCTGTATAATTATACTGGAAATGTACTTAATATTTTTATCGCAATTTTCATCACAATTGTGAAAATTATTATTATAGGATAGTATTATTAAGTTATACATACAATATTGTTAATTTCTGTACATATTAAACTATTTTTCATTTTTCATACCATGTTTGAAGACTTGGCAACTACGCAATAATTTGTAGCGTGTTCCTCGTTCGTTCTGCCGTGGTTGGCAGAATATGGCGTCTCTTGCTAGAAAATAGTTGTGATTTTAGTAAGTGAAACGTGATTAGTGTTTATACATGTATTTTGGATAAACTTTTAAGGTGTGAATATGGTTAGACAGTGCAGAATTTGTAAGAAATTGGGTTATAAACATCCACATCAGCTATCCTTCCACAGGTAAGCGTGCTTGAAGGTGACTTTGGAATGTATATGCAACTGTGGCCATTGTCGTGCCTGTGGGTAACTTTTATTTCAATAACGGTAAAATTTTATATAACTGACTTGGTATTTTTTTTAAATTTTTGCTGAAATAGTAAGAAAACAATAACATGAACCACGATTGGCCATTAAAATCAAAGGAAAATGCTGCACCACAAATAAGTTACAGACATTATTTATATTTAATATATTTATAGGTATTTCAATGTTATCCCTTATACCCAACATTACAAATTTTAATCATTCATCATTTTCATTTTCCTCTACGACAAAAACCTTTTCAAAAATATATTTACAATTTTACTAAATGCACGAGCATAAAAACTGAATAAATACAACAGCAAAAATATGGTGGTGGTTCACTTATACATAAAAATACCGAAGATGCAATCAACTGAAAGTTGCATTCATTCAACCATTTGATGTTTTCCTTTGGGAATATATTTTTGTCTCACTGAAAATTTGCCTCAGTATTCTAAAAGTGAAATGTGAACGTTTTTAGGATGCTTGGGGATGGTGCAACAAGAAAGAAATGGTTACAGTTATTGGGATTCCAAGAAGTTATAAAAATTTTATATATATTTATTATAAAAATACTGAGTAGCTGTTGAAATATATTGACTTAGGACTATAAAATATTTTATTTTGACCCATCCAAAATGTACGACATTGGAGATGTAATCGCGCGCATCAGTTGGATGAAAATAAAGCCCTCTGCTTTCCCCTTGTCTAGCTTCACTCAACATATGAGATAGACCGTGACATGCATAGTCCCCTTTATTTAAATGTCCTTGTATTAGAGTAATTATTGTTGTTTATTTTGTGTATACATACTGGTTTTTATGATTCTTATTAATAATTAGTAAACCAGTGTTTGTTATTTAATTTTATTTCCCTTTGGGTTCTAATGGGTTTTTATAAAAGAATAGGTTCACCGACAACGGCAAACACTGGTAATGCCGATATTGTCAGGGTTGTTAATAATTTTGCCGATTTAATTTGAAACAGTCTATGCAATAACTCTGCTAGGAATTGTATCGATTACTCATTTGATCAACAAATTTCACTGACGTAAAAATATTGATGAAAGACTGATATCATCATTAAGTACACATTGATGAGGCACCATATATCTAATCCAGAACCAGATTATATATGTAATATAAATTTAATTCTCACTTAAAAATAAGTTTTGAGTTTTCCTTTCTGTTATTGTTGTAAACATTATTTTACTTACAGAATGGCGCTAATTATCTAGTAGGTCAAGCTGTTAACCATTGATTACTTACCTAAAAATAATGGGACTTTCATTATGTCATTTTTAATTCGATTTTATAGTTTTATATAAATGGTGTGCCTCTTGTGGTTTGCCAACATATATGAGGTTTCAGCTTGGCAGTGAAACTTTAATCAAAATATTCTATCTACATCAATTATACACTGGCCAAGTCGTTCCCCAGTCCTCAATCCAATGGACTCTTACTTCTGGGATTTGAATATCAATTATACGTATATTCCATTGTTAAATATTCATTCTTATTTTTATTTTTGTCAAATCCTAAAATAATTATAACGTCATAAAATTAAATCAATGACACTGTTTCTAAAAACCCAAATTCTAAGTAAACTGGTGATTCCTATCAGATAACTAAAAGATCGATTGCTATAATTTAGAAAGCCAAGCTTTAAATTGAAATTTTACGAAAGAGAAAAGAATTCGGAGAAAGAGACGTACATAGAAAAATATTGAAGGGGGGAGGTGATGGGTACCACCTATCTCGGTTTTCTTAAATCAAAATTGCTCAAAAGTATGAAGGTGTAATCTTATAAACATGCGCAAGATTTGAAGTCAGTATATCGGAAAATAACGGAGTTATTAAAAAAAGTTGTTTTTAAAATCTTGACTTTAACACCCTGTATGTTTACTTTATTTTAAAGATATTAAGCTAATTCAAATAAATTCAAACAATGTTGTACATCAAAAATCTAGATGTGTAAATATAAAAATAATAAATATGACATAAAAATATAGAAAGAGAAAATTTTTCTATCGCGGCTATTGTTACGTGTTGAACTTTGTCAGGAATACAAAATATTTGTTTACATTATTTAACAGTTTCAGTATGTCAGGTTTTTGAATTAATAATATTCAGACATATTTTTAATATTTATTTTCGATAATAATTACACAGACCATCAAAATCTAATTTTTTTTTGGAAGTAGAAACTTCAATATATATTTCCGAAGGATTTAGTTGCGCTGAATCCGAATCTGGCAGCAGAATTGCTCTATCACGTCAGGTTTTTGAGATATCCTAACCTAAAAGTGCAAAAAACACTGTTTTTCGTCATATTTGAGGTTATGTAGTAGTGCCATATATTATTTTTAAAAAAATTAATACATTGAATCTAAAAGTACAAGGCTCCCTCCTTCGAATGCCGTTGAGTTTGCTCGAATATCTTTTTTTTTTCGTAGAGATATCACATGTTGAAATTTTTAAGTTTCTCAGTTTCTTAATATGCGAAAATCTACTAATAGTCCAAGAGATTAGGCTCAAAACCTTCGAGATATGGCTGTTGCTTGACGTAGACTGGATATTATTAAAAATCGATCGAAAATAATATATACAATGAAAATATAACGTTGCGCCAAGAAAAAAGTTGTGCTATTTGCAGAAAAAATTAATAACTGCAAAAATACTCAAAAATGACGTGTTTTTTCTAACATTTTCCAACATAACTTCTTAAATATACAGTTTACAGAAAAAACTATTACTGATGAAACTGTTTGCTATGAAATTTGCTATAAGATAGAATTATTTTGATACCTGCGCATATCATATTTTTGTTGTTAAATGGCCAAAACAACGTAAGAAAGTGATGAAAATCGAGGTAATTTGGAAGCGTCAAACTGACAGGTAAGAAATTGTCCAATTCTACTATAAATGTAGATGTAAGTACTTCAAACGATTACAAAACGAAATTCCAAAACCTGATCAAAATCGGTCTGATAGTTTTGGTATGAGACAATTTGTTACTAAATTTCAGAGCGAAATGTCATTTTTTTACGTGAGTGCTGGGGTTAAAGTTAGGCATTTTAATTGGCGCCGATTTTTTTACACATACTTGGACCCCTTAACTATCATATAGAATCGTTATAATATCAATTTTCTTTTTTTGAATAATTTTTAGAGCGATTTTAAAAGTTAGAAAAATTTTGACTTTATAAACAAATACTTTCGTGAAGCGGTTTTGCGAGTTGGAAAATATATCAAAGTACTAAAAAACAGTTCTCGAAAAGATGCTTAACTTGACAAAAAGAACGTTCAGATCGGTCCTATAAGTTCCGAGATATAGAGTGTCAAAGTCAACATGCGCTTGCTGCAAAAACAACAATAAAAACAGAATTTGGTAGGTTTTTTCAACAACTTTCCGTATGTGTTTCTATAAATATGATCGCACGTGTGCTTTTTAATGAAAATTCAATGAATATCGCCAAGCGGACCATTTGTGCCGTAAAACCGAGGAGAGAGGATGAATTATAGAAATTGAAATCGCGCGTTCAAAAAAAAGCGCGCGCGCTTCGGCGTTCAATATCTCGGTTTCTATGGCTCCGATTTTGATGATTTTTTTTTAATCGATATAGCAAAATGAGAGGAATTCAATTATAAAGATTTCATTAACATATTTTAAAGCCCTTATTATTACGATTATTTAAAATTTCATTGTTATACTGTATATGCATGTAAATAATAATATCAATGGTAGGATATAGGTACATAATCCACTGTTAATAGGTATTAGTGTTAATAATTACGTGGTAATAATGTTTAAATAAAATCTTGAAATTTTTATTTAATATGTAATTTATTTATTGTATGCATAAAATATAGAAAAAGATGTAGATACAAATAATTATTTATTTATGTTTATAAAACGTGTTTATTGTATTTTCATAATCATCGTTATTATTAAAGTTTTTCACTTTTTTACAACATCATTGCTGTTTTCACTTATAATATCAGCATTTGAATAAGTATCGTTTTCCATTATTTTCAAATCGGTGTTTAACTAATTGCAAGACCACTGTCAGATTAACAGCAAATGATGACTTATGGTTGGTTATAGTTGGTTAATTTGATTTTTTAAATTTGCTAGCAATTTCATAGCCATCCTCGCAAGAAATTGGATCATTTTATTTATCACAAAAACCGTCAAAAACAGAAAAATTAAAAGATAGGTATATGGAAATGTAATATGGATAGATATAGAAATCATTTTTATAACAGATTTTGATTAAATATACAGGGTGTCTAATTTACAAAAACCAAGTTTTGGCGTTTCGATCAATTAAAATCGACAATAAATATGAAATTGAAATAGGTCGAAAACCATTAGACCATTAGAGATGGATATAGGGAAGCTTTATAAAATTCCCCTAAAATTATGCGTAGAATCCAAATATGCAAAAATATACAGGATGTTTCATTTATAATAAGCAAATATGTGGCGACTACCGGTATAACCAGAAGTACTACAACATTGGCATTATTTTATTTTAACTCTCTTTAAATAAAACCTCCAAATCCACCAGGTCCCAAATTTTCAAAATTCAAATCGAAGTAGTCTCCGAAATATTCTAATGGACCGTCACCATATGACAGCCTGTAGAAGAAAATTTTGAGAGCGAAAATAGCAACTATGCTATAAAAAAGCGGAATACTTTAATAATGCGATGATACGTTTTATAAATATCAAATAATTATTTGTACCTGCATTTTCTTCTACTTATATGTAAACAATAAATAAATTACATATTAAATAAAAATTTCAAGGTTTTAAACATTATTACGAATTATTAAAACTAATAACAATTAACAATGGACTATGTATATCTACTACCATCGATATTATTATTTACATGAATATACAGCAACAATAAAATGTGTGAAATTTTAAGTAGTCGTAATAGGCTGATAAAGCTTTGTAATATTTTAGTGAAATTTTGATAATTGAATTCCTCTCATTTTGCTATATTGATTTTAAAAAAATCATCAAAATCGGAGCCGTAGAAGCCGAGATATTGAACGCCGAAGAGGGCACGCTCTTTTTGAACGATTTCAATTTCTATCATTCATCCCCTCCCCCAGGTTTTTCGGCTCAGATGGTCGGCTTGGCGATATTCACTGAATTTTCATAAACAAAGCACACGTGAGATAATATTTATAAAAGCACATACGAAAAGTTCTTAAAAAACCTACCAAATTCATATTTTGTTGTTACATTATGAATAGTTTTGCAGCTAACGCTTGTTGACTTTGACACTAGATATCTCGGAATTTATACGACCGATTTGAACGTCCTTTTTTTCAAGTTAAGCGTCTTTCCGAGAACTGTTTTTTAGTTCTTTAGTATATTTTCCAACCCTCAAGACCGCTTCAGGAAAGTATTTGTTTATAAATTCAAAATTTTTCTAACTTTTAAAATCGCTGCAAAGATTATTCCAAAAAAGAAAATTGACATTATAATGATTCTTTATGATAGTTAAGGAGTCCAAGTATGTGTAAAAAATCGGCGCCAATTAAAATGCCTAACTTTAACCCCAGCACTCACGTAAAGAAATAACGACTTTTTGCGCTGAAATTTAGTAACAAATTGTCTCATACCAAAACTGTCAGACCGATTTTGATCGGGTTTCGGAATTTCGTTTTGTAATCGTTTAAAGTATTTACATCTACATTTATAGTAGAATTGGACAATTTCTTGCCTGTCAGTTTGACGCTTCCAAATTAGCTCGATTTTCATCACCTTCTAACGTTGTTTTGGCTATTTAGCAACAAAAATATGATATGCGCAGGTATCAAAACAGTTCTATCTTGTAGCAAATTTCATAACAAACAATTTCATCAGTAATAGTTTTTTCTGTAAACTGCATAGTTAAGAAATTATGTTGGAAAATGTTAGAAAAAACACGTAATTTTTGAGTATTTTTGCAGTTTTTAATTTTTTCTGCATATAGCACAACTTTTTTTCCTGGCGCAATTTTATATTTTCATTGTACCGATTTTTACTAATATCGAAATTACGTCAAGCAACAGCCATGTCAGTGTGTAATTCTCCTGGACTGGATTCCGTAGACATCAAGCAGTCGATTGCAATTCAGAAACTTCATACCCATACGGTTTGTGGGTTTGGAGTTGGTGGGCTTGGAATTTGTAAGCTTGGAGTTTGTAGGTTCCGGTTTTGTGGGACTGGGGTTTGTGGGTTTAGGGATTGTGGGTTTGGGGTTTGTGGGTTTGTGGATTTGGAGTTTGTGAGTTTGAGTTCGTATGTATTGAAGGTTTCTGAGTATGAAGTTTCTGAAATGCAATCAACTGTTTGACGTCTAAGGGATCCGTAGTAGATTTTCGCATATTAAGAAACTGATGAACTTAGAAATTTCAACATGTGATATCTCAACGAAAAACAAAGATATTTGAGCAAACTCAACGGCATTCGAAAGAGGGAGCCTTGTACTTATATTATATGTATTTTTTAAAAAAAGAATAGATGGCATTACTACATAACCTCAAATATGACGAAAAACAGTGTTTTTTGCACTTTTACGTTAGGATATCTCAAAAACCTGATGTGATAGAGCAATTCTGCGGCTAGATTCGGATTCAGCGCACCAAAATCCTTCGGAAATGCATATTAGTCTGACTGCTTTTTGGCCTTTGTTGACCTGTGTTACTGTTTACAAGATATTGCTAGTACAATTCAATTGGGGCATGCAGGTTAGTTCTTTCCCGCAATATCGTCAGCTAAGAATCTGTATATGAGGTTAACTTAGATTTTTGACATCGAAGAATTTGACTTCATTTGATAGAATTTTTATAAAAAATACGATATTTAACACCCTGTATTTCGAAAATCGGGTGGCCAAACTAAAAATTGCGTAATCTGTGATTACAGCTTTATAGTGTGTGAGACTCTGTACAATGATAGATGTTAAATTATGAAGTAATTCTCAAAACAAAACACGTACCTTTAAATTAATTTATTATTCATTTTTAATAAAAAGAAAATTGAAGTGGAAGTTTTATATGTTTCTTTTTGCTCCCAGAAGTGATTCTGTAACATGAAAACTATTGAGAATATTTTATTTTTCAGTATTCCGTAATATTGCTGATCATCTTCCTCGCACAAATAGCGATCGGAGTTTTCGCCTTTTTACAAATTAATGACAAAGGAGACTTTGAAGATGAAATCCGGCGTACCCTTACAACGATATTTAACAACTACGACAGCGACAAAACCAATGCCTCTAGGACAACAGTGGATTTCATGCAGCATGAGGTAAGTAACGAGACTATTCGACAGGTACTACTACTATAGTTGCTGAAAGATCAATATGAGGATGATCTTTAACGTACGTGCAGTACAAACCGACACAATTAAGTTTGCGTTTAAAACTAAGGCAGAGCTGCGCGAGATTGAGAAAGTACGCATTCGGCTACAACAGGGATGCACAGACTTATAGGGAACAGGGTCCACTCGGGAAAAATATAAGCCAAGGACGGGCCACTACAAACAATATTTATTAACACAAAATTTTTTATTTTTAAATAGTATGAAATACAATGATAAAAATAAAATAACCTTCAAAAATGTTTGTTGTAATAATTATGTAATCATTACAATGTAATATTTCATGTTTTATTATTTTGATGCATGACATTGCATTGAACTAACAAGTTTTTTTATATTTGGCTCCACATTACTTGTAGCCACACGTATAATTGCTTCCAAATTTTCATTTGCCAGACGGTTTCGGTTTTTCGTTTTGTTAAGTTTCATCACTGAAAACGTTTGTTCACAAATATACGTCGATCCAAATAAGCTTGCGCATTTCAATGCATTTATTCGCAACTCTTTATAAGCGTTTTTATCAACGCAACGGTAGAAGTTGAGTAAATTACCTTCATTAAATTTGTTTCTTAAATTATCATCATTTTGCATGTCTATTAATTCCAGCTGCATTAATTCCGGCGCATTTTCGGGTGAAATGTTGAAAGGATTGCTGAAAATGTCCAATAGCGGTTTAACTTTTTTGAAGTCTACAAAACGATTTTCAAAAGCTTGTATCAAAATATCAATTTTTTCAACATGAGCGAAATTGACGTCAGTTTTATTGAACTTCTCCATAATTTTTTTGTAGTTCGGAAAATGGCCGTAATTGGCTGAATTGATTTGTGTCCTGAAAAGACTCAATTTGCATTGAAAGGACGAAACATGAGAGTATAGCTGCGAAATCAATTGATCTTTGCCTTGGAGTCGCGTATTTAAGACATTCAAGTGATTTGTGATGTCTACAAGAAACGCTAAGTCACACAGCCAATCAGGGTTGTCGAGTTCGGGGACGTCGTTTTTCTTTTCCGCCAGAAATAGTTGGATTTCTTCAATCAAGTTAAGAAATCGCTGT